AATGACCAAAAGTTATAAGGAGAAATAAATGCATGTGCAACTTGTAAGGAGGTAAACAAAATGGAAAGACAGTTTATTTTAAAGGTTTGTTACAAAATATCCCATTGAACTTTCTTTGGGTTGTGGAGTGTCCCCCAAACTATACATTTCAGATCTATAATCCTCAAATAATCAACTTTTCACAATAAATTCCGATAAAATTAATACCACTACTGTAATTTACTCGCTAAAAAGTCATTAATATCCCTAAATTTAGTTAAATAGTTAAAATGTCCTTATTCCTCTTCAACTAACTTGTATACATATATCTGTTTCTTTTTCTTTTTTTTTTGGTTTCTTTCACAGCAAATGTAGATCTCTCTCTCTCTCTCTCTGTCTCTCCACCCATAAAGAGAGAAATCCTTGATATACGTATATAAGTCAGTTATAGGGGAAGAACAACATTTTGGCAACTTAATTAAATACAAGTATATTGACAATTTTTTTGCGCATTTAATTTTCTTGGTGGCAAGTTGATTGAATACGTCAAGAAAATTCAGTAGTTTGAGGATGGTAATGCTGAAATTGATAGTTCAGAGTACACTTGCAACCAAATAAAGTTTTGGCAGTATTTTGTAATTAACACCATAAATACTAACATAAATGTGTGATGAATTTATTGTAAAATGAGTTTGAAGACAAACTTTACTGTTTTTGTTTACATTGTCATTAATGTGGATATTTGACCAAATTTGAAAATTTGTTCTTAATTGCATTGGATGTATTAACTTAGACTACGTTTGATAAAACTGAAATCTGAAATCTGAATTCCTAAATCTATTAAATTGTTAAACAAATAAATCTGATACATTTGAATATATATCATATTAAGTGATAAGTGAATAATATCACTTATTTTTTAGGGCAGTTTTACTTTGAAATTTAGTACCATTTAATTAATTCAGATGTTTATTTTTGTTATTAAATATATCTGAATATGTAAAGATTTGAATCCATTAAATTTAAGTGCTGAATTGGTTATCAAATAAAGCTTTAGTTATTCACCCAAAAATTTCCCATTTCAGCTATTTAACGGTTCAACTGGCTAGTTAATCAAGTCACGAAAATTTGAGTGTTTTTTGTTAACTCTTACAGTTTTAGGGGCTTGATTGGACCGAAGAACAAATGATTGGCAATTGAACCGTTTAGACCAACCTATCATGACTGGGTTTTAAAAACTATCTTTAATTAAGAGTCTGATTCACAGAAAATGTAGGGAAACAATAACTAGAAAAACAACCTGATACTTTTGTTGATATTATATGTTTGTGGAGTATTTTACAGTATTATTATTTTTTTAACTTATAGTTAGTTTTTTTGGATCTTTATTTAAGGGTTGGTTGATCGTGTGTATTAATACCAATACATGGATAGACTAGGAAGATGCAATTGGAGAGCTATTGTAGTGTCCCTTCGGGGACATCCGCATAAAATTAGAACGATACGGAAAGCTGTTGTAGTTCCCAAATGGAATAATTAGTTATTGCATATCCATTAGAGTTGTAGTATAAACTGTACCTTCAATAAATTTAAAGATAGCTAGATGTGGGTAAATAGAAGAAGAAGTGTGTTGCAGTCCAAATTTTTTTTAAAAATTTTTTAGCATTTTTATGAGATTAAATGTTATGCACATTGTAGATTTGAATTTTCACACCCCAACAATGTTTTGAATTCCATATTAGCATAGTTTAATTAAAGTTTTGTATGCAAATACACTATTGGAAGCTCCCTTTCTCAACTTTCTCTTTGCCCTCTCTCAACCTTCTTTTACCTTCAACTAAACTTGGCAATTGAACGGGTTGATATTGAGTTTTTACTTAAATGGATTATACTCAACCCATCTAACTTTAGATTGGATTAAATTTGAGTCGGATCATATGGAGTCATCTCAAACCCATGACCCAAGATATTAATTAATACAGTGTGATACATAAATTTTTATTATGCATTTACACACACAAAAAGATTTTTTTCATATATATAAACACATTTTCATATACATAAATATATTTTCACACAATAACACACTTTCACGCACCTAAACACTCATTCACTTTTTAAGCTCCTTGGAAACACTTCATAAATAGAAATAATATTTTATATTGCGAATTTTAGATAATAAATTGTACATTTAAATAGATTAGTTAAAAAAAATTGTTTACTTTATACTTTTTAATACAACTAATTGATTGAATATTACTTTTACTATTCATATTTGCTTTATTGTAAGTTGTAATGTCCTACGTATTGAAATTATTGAATGCTAGATTATATTATGCTTGAAAATGTAATTAAGAGAAATATAATTTGTTGCATTATAATATTGATGAGGAATTATTAACAATGAAATGAAACAAGTTAGAGAAAAGTAAAAGAATGCAATTAAAACAAATTTAAAAATCTATTCTAGGTACACAAATTATTAACAAACAAAACAAGTAGCAATTAGAGAACAACAACCAAAAAATTGGAGGAAAACAACATACTCCTAAAAAGCATAATAAATTATTATAGATGTTAAACAAGTTTAACTATTGTTTATAAAAGTAAAATAAGCATGAGTTTTTATTTTAAGTTTCTTTTTTCTTTTAAATAAAAGTTAAAAAAATTGATTGAAAAGATATATATGAGAATTTTGAATACAAATTAATCAATGAATTATTAACACGTCTAAATGCAACTGGTTGGGCATATGTATATTGAATCTTGCATTTATTATTTTGAATTATTTTTAAACAGGTTAGGTATTGAGTGTCCAAATAAAAAACTCAACCTGCCTAATGAATAACTTGGGTTGCTTTTACCCAACCAAATAAAATCCATAACCCAACTGATCTGACCCATCCTTTAAAATTAATGGGTTGGTTGGGTGAATTGTTGGGTATTAGGCTTTTTTGCCAACTCTACCTTCAACCTTCTCTCTAAGTTATTCCTCAAGTGGGAGATTTTGGCCCTAAATCAAGGTCTCCCTTCATCTTTTTTTTCTTTTTTTTATTTATTTAATAAGGTCTCTCCTCGCATATCCTGGTGAGAGTTTCTCTCTTAGACTATCCTAATGAGAGTTTTATTTAGTTTTTGTCATTTTTTTCTCAGATATAAGATTTTTTCACATCTATGTATTAGACAAATCTATGTGTTAGATTAAAATTTTTTGAATTTTCTCATCAAATCTCAACATCAGTTGTGAACTTGAATCAACTGGATAGCAATTGTAAGGAAATAGAATGCACAAATATCTATGGAGTAGTTCATTCAATTGGTCATATTTGATGGTTTGTTATTCACAGTGTAATTTTTATATTTTGTAATTCTGTTAAATCTAATGATTTTTCAGATCAAATATATTTGTGACATGTTCAATGTATTTTTTGCCATTAATGTAAATTACTTTGTCAAGCAAATTGTGTTGGATGATTTCCACTTAGTTTATTGATAATATTAATTTTGATTTTAGCCAAAAAAATTAAAGTGTTGTACAAATTTTTAAATGCGCTGTACAAATTTCTAATACATATGAACAGGTAGCGACTCATCTCACAAAAACTATAAGATTTAAATGGAATATGAGCTATCATTATACACAGAAAACATCAAAGGTGAAGAAAAAGGTCTCATAATAAACGAGAATTGCTATTTTTCCCCCTTTTAAGTATATCGCAGCAACAGGAAAGAAACGAGTAAAAGAAACTGAAACATCCATATCAATAGTCATTCTCAAAGATAATCTTTGAAACTTTTTCCCCTCCACTTACTAGTACAAATTGTTACATTGGTTCTAAAGAAAGGTGATGGTATATGTCTGTAGAGTTCAAAGCAGATTATCCGATAGTTAAACAAGATATGGTCTTGCACACTGAATAGAACCAAAGTTTTCTAAACAGATACTAATGTTCAAAGAGCAAGTTTTTTTCGTCTTTCCCAAGACGAATAAATTCACACATTGCTTTTCTCCATTGCATGCTGATCAGGGACCGAACTCTCTCCATGATCAGTGATAATTAGAGCATTACTTGTTGAAGCATTTTTGCTTCCACTGTTGCCTTGCTTAGTTTTTAAGCTCTTTTATGTAGTTTTCCAGAAGAGGGCTAGGTGTTGGCCATTTCTTGTGACATTTTCGCCCCGAGAATAGCCTTCTCATGGTTGCATTCCAACGGTTCTTGATGGAGTTTTCAGTCCTTCCAAGTAGTCTCTTTGCAATTTGTACCCATTTGCGTCCTATTTCAGCATGAGCCTCGACCAAGATCTTATCTTCCTCCGCAGTCCATGTATCCTTCTCTGAAGGAAAACGAACAAGTAAGGGAATAAGTTTATTAAGGAATTTTATCATAATTTTCCAGCCTTTTGGTCATTTTATTACAACAGGGTGCTATGGTCTCGAATTTTAACCAGTCACCTCACAAGGCCAATGATGTTACGGAGTTTGTCTTGGGTGCTTTACAAACGAGGTTGGATGGGTTTCAGGGACCGGGAAGATTGGCATACGGTTGTGGGTTGTCGCTCCAGGAAGAAAGGTATTTCACCCCCTCTTACTTTTTACGACCATGATCATGATTAAGGCTCTCTTCTGGAATGCTAGAGGAGTGGATAATGCTCTTATCATAACTCGGTTGAGGAAGTTGAAGCGGATGCATAAGCTCTCTTTGTTAGCACTGTGCGAGCCAAAGACGGGTTGCAAGCGTCTTGATTTTATTCGACAACGGCTAGGTTTTCCACAGGCAGTCTCCAATGAGGAGAGCAGGATTTGGGTGCAGGATTTAGATGCGAATTCTTGGCTGCTTCACCTCAATTCTTGGCATTGGAAGTGACACACTCTTCCTTTCGGAGGTCCTTTGTTGCGGTCTTTGTTCATGCGTCTTGTGTTACCCACGACCGTGAATTGCTCTGGCAACAATTGGTAGGGGTGTGTCCACAAGGGAGGCCGGCTACTGTTTTGGGAGATTTTAATGTTATTACTGGCGCAAATGAAAAGAAAGGGGGTCGCCCGTTTCGCGCTAGGGTCACAGTCGTTCCTGGATTTTATTGAGGATGCTGAGTTGACAGATTTGGGGTTCACTAGGTCTCAGTTTACCTGGTGTAACAATCATTGGGGCAAAGCCAGAGTTTGGAAATGTCTGGATAGGATACTCGTAAACCAGCAGTGCTTGAGTTTAGAGGTGAACACGTTGGTGGCTCACTTGAATAGGGTTGCTTCGGATCACTCCCTCTATTAGTTTCTTGCTCCATGGCGGCGGGAGGGGCACCTACAAGCTTTAGATTCCTGGATGTTTGGAGGTCGCATGCTAAGTTTCAAAGTGTGGTTAGACAAGCGTGGGAGGTGGAGTGTGAGGGACGGCCCATTAAGGTCCTACTCACGAAGTTAAAGGCGGTGAAGCAGGCATTGCGCAGATGAATAAGGAGGTTTTTGAAAATATTTGACCGTGTCAGGGAACATGAGGAAAAGGTCTTGGCACTGGAATATTCCTTGGAGGAGGGGTCATATGAGGAGGGGCAACTTCAGCTTGCCCAGGCCCAAGGTGAACTTAAGGAGTCTCTGCTGCGGGAGGTGGCCTACTGGCGTCAAAAGGCATGCCTTCGGTGGCTTCAGGAGGGGGATGCCAACTCTAAGTTTTTTCACGCACAGGTAAAGCAGCGGAGGGCTCGCACATTTATACATCGAATGAAGGACGGCAATGAGGTTTGGACGGAAGAGGCTGGTAGGATTCAGGATATGGCAACTGCTTTCTTTGAGGACATGTTGTCACAGCCTGGCCAGGTGCAGGTGGATCCATCGCTGTTAAGTGTGATCCCTTCGATTGTTTCTGAGCAGGATAACCTGGCATTTCAACGGTTCCCTATGGAGGAGGAAATAAAGACAGTTATTTTTCAGATGGATGGTGACAGTAGTTCGGGTCCAGATGGCTTTAAGGGGTCTTTTTCACATCATGTTGGGAGATAGTGAAGGTGGATGTCTTCCGAGCGGTCTGTGATTTTTTTGCAGGAGTGGAGCTGCTTTGGGGGCATACATCTATGGGTTGGTCCTGGTCCCCAAGATTCCTGGGGCACTCTCTTTCTCAGATTTTCGCCCAATCAGCCTGTGTAATTTTGTCAACAAGATCATATCCAAGCTATCGGCGAGGCGATTGGAAAGTGTGTTGCCGAAGATAATATCCCCGCAGCAGAGTGGCTTTGCAAAGGGTCGACAGATCTCGGATAATATTTTGCTGGCATTAGAGATGTGTTCAACTCTAGGGAAGAAGGTGCGGGCTCCAATATTGCTCTCAAACTGGACATGGCCAAAGCGTATGATCGGGTATCCTGAAATTTTCAGGTCATGAGACGGTTTGGTTTTGGGGAGCAATGGCTTGACATGGTTTGGAGCTGATTTCGTCGTGTCATTTTTCGGTTTTGGTTAATAGGAAGTTATGTGGATTTTTTCGGTCTTCTCGGGGTTTACATCAAGGGATCCGTTATCACCGGCTTTATTTATCATTACGGCGGAGGTGTTGTCTAGGCGCTTGAATGACTTATCGGGTGATTCGAGATTTGTCCCGTTCTTTGTGACGCGGGACTCTCTAGCGCTGACACATCTTGTCTATGCTGATGACATTATCATCTTCTGCAACGGTGGTAAACGTTCCCTAGGGTGTCATGCAGGTGTTAGAGGGTTACCAGGAGATATCAGGGCAGCTGGTGAACGTGGTGAAGAGTTGTTTCTTGGTTGACAAGAAAACTTCGATGCCTCGTAGGAGGGTGATTGCGCAAGTCACTGGGTTTTCCCCTAAAAGTTTGCCAGTGATTTACTTGGGATGCCCATTATTTGGGAGGAGACGAGTGAAAGCCTTATTCGCTGATTTACTGAATAAAGTCTCTCAACAGATTGCTTCCTATCATGGTCGGTGGTTATCAATGAGTACTCGGCTTTACTTATCAAGCATGTACTGTCGTCCATGCCAATTCATATTGTGGCAGTCTTGGAGCCCCCAAGAGGGGTTGTCTCCGACCTAGAGCAGTTGTTTGCGAGGTTCTTTTGGGAAGAGTCGGAGTTTGGTGCTAAGCGGCACTGGGTGAAATGGGAGAAATTATGCTTTCTGGTGGAGAAAGGCGGGGTCAATTTTCGGTCCCTTCAGGCGATCGTTGAAGCATTCTCCTGTAAACTATGGTGGATGTTTAGACGTGGCCAATCTCTCTGGGCACAATTCATAAGGGCCAGGTATTTTGGATCCCTGCATCCAAATCAAGGACCTATTTCTGCTCAGTTGTCTGCTAGTTGCAAACGTATAATTCGGGTCCGCTCAACCATGGAGCATTGGTTGAAGTGGGATCTCTCGAGGGGGGAGGTGGCTTTTTGGTGGATAACGGGAGTGGGCTGGGCCCTTTGGCATGGAGGTATCCAGAGTTGGCGTCAGATGTGAAGGTTTCGAAATTTTTATGTGAAGGGCGATGGGATTATCCGGCTTTGGCATTGCTGCCCTTGTAATAAGGGAGGCGGCTCAGGGATCCTTTTCTGTTTTGGTTCGGACCCGGACAACCTAGTTTGGTTATTGGATCCCTCAGGAGTTTTCGCGAGGTCTGCACATCAGCTTGCTCGCCCAATTAGGGCTCGTTCATAGGCATTTTTCTATATTTGGCATTCCTCTATCCCATGGAAATTGTCTTTCTTCATGTGGCGCTTATTGAATATCCAACTGTCGATGGACGATGTGCTCGAAAAATTTCAGATTCATGGTCATTCTACATGTCACTGCTGTGTGTCAGTTCAGTTAGAGTGCTGGAACATGTGTTCTCTACTAGCCAATTGGCCAATGAGACATGGCCGTTCTTTGAGCGATCTCTTGGATTTTCTACACCATTTCTCACGGTTAGATCTAGGTGCTATAAATGGTGGTTACTCCTCGTGAAAGGGAAAGTGCTACACTAGTTAACTCGAATTCTTCCACTTCTGATTCTATGGTTTCTATGGAGGGTTAGGAATATGTCCAGGTTCGAGGGTCACAAGCTATCCGGCTCTTAGGTTCGGACCCTCATCATTAATAAATTACGAATGTTAATCCAAGTTTATTTTCCGGGTATTGTGGTTTTGCCTTGCAAATGGGAGGGACTTCTGGAGGTTTTGACTGCAGCCCGGAGGATCTTAACAGCTAAGGTAGTTAGGTGGACCTTCCCTGCGGGAGGTTATTTAAAGTTAAACATTGATGACTGTGCTACGGTTCCGTGGTAGCGGAGTCGGTAGGGTGATTAGGGACTCGTGTGGGAAGCTTATTGTAGCATTTGCGGACTCTTTTGGCTGTCTGGATTCTTTGCAAGCGGAGGTGCGTGCCCTCCTATTAAGGCTCCACTTAGGGCGCTAGGTAGGCATTTCCCGTCTAATCATTGAATCTGATTGCCTGGTTTTGATTAACTGTTTAAGGGGGATAGGGGGTCCCAGCTGCTATTTGACCAGTTGTTCGCGCTATTCAGCTGGTTGCGTCAGGTTGTCACCAGATCAATCATTGCTTCCGGGAGGGAAACACAATTGCAGATTTGCTAGCAGCATACGGTGCTGCGTCTGGCTCTCGCTCAATGTTCACTACGGCCTCGCAGTTGCCTCCTCGTACTAGTGGGCTTTTGTCTTTGGATATGCAGAATTTTTGTAACTTCCGATTTTCTTTTAGGAGGTAAGGCTTGAGCCTTCCTCTTGGTTTTGTATTCTGGCTTCGATTAATTAATAAAAACAAGAGAGTATTTTAATAAAAAAAAGAAATTTCAGTGTAAAAAAAAAAGTTTAACTCTAAAGGTGGTTAGAAAAATCGTTACCCTAGGCATGTTTCTCTAGAATAGACAATGTGAATATTCAAAAGCAGCAATATCATGATTACCAAAATGTGAAACTCCTAATGACAGGGTGTTAAATGTAAATATCCCAAACATTCTCGCACAGCTATGATCGTCAGCTAATATATTATTGAAAAACCTATATTTTGTCATTTTACAAGCCCACATTGATTATACAATACAATTACAATTAAGTCAAGCAAAGTATGACAATTCCCAAAGTAGAAACCTTTAAAACATGGCACTGGGTGTAAAAATGTCATTCTTACGTATATTTGGTATTTGTAAAGCATTTTAACGGTTGATTTTTGATGGGTTTTTGATATACGTACAAGTTAAAATCCGATTTACACCCGTTTGACTGCAAGTATACAGGTCAACTAGTAATTTAGAGCATGTATCGGGTCGATCCCACGAGAAGATTGAATAATTACCGGTGTTACTAAAGTTTCTCTATTATTTAGACTATCAATGAATTATAGCAAGCAAAACCTACAAAACTTATACAAGAAAATAACAAATGAAAGCTCTTTAGGTTATGGTATCCCTAACTACTTATGCAAGTGTTATATTTGGATCATTAAGAACTACTATCTTAGCTAACTATGGTGTAATTTTCCTATGCATATGAATCCTACTTTTATAGTGAATCAATTATATTCATCACTAATCCATACCTATTCTCATAGTTATGAAATTAGGTACAAGTTCATTTTTTCAATGAAATTATATGAAATTAATCACTAAAATCACATAGGTGCACCTCTACTCTCGTGAGTGTACTCCCTATGTTTAGCACTTCTTGAACCAGTGTTAAATCTCAATTTTCATTACAAAAACACACCTTAGATAATCACAATTAATGATACCATATTAATTATGATTTTAAAGAGTTAAAGTGCTAAATAACTTGCTCAAATCATAGCTTCAAATAACCAAATAATAAACACTAACAATCATAGAAAGTTCAACTAAACCTAAGGCATAAATTTTATAAACACATAATAACATATAAATCCATAACTTGTATATTAACTAAATTTGGAATCAAGTACAAAAGATAAAGAGTTAGAAAGGAAAAGTAACCCTTGTCACATGAGCTCTTTCCTTGCCTTCTTCATCTCCTTCTTCATCTTTGCCTAGCTAATAAACAGAAAGATGAACTAATACTCTATACTAAATTAATCTAACACTAAGAGAATGGAAAAACTACATTTCTGCAAACTCCAATCTTCCTCCCCTTATGATCATCTTCTCTAGTTGCTTTGTATATAGACTCATGAAAAGTTCCTCCTCTCCACCGTTTTTTCCTCCACCTTGATTCTCAAATCTTCAATTTGTTAGGAAAGTAAAAAACAATGGCTTTTTGACTTGCAACTTTGGCTATACCTTTTCCTTATGTCTTCTGAAGCATGTGCAGCTGAATTCCCTTACCAAGAATAGCTGGAAAGTGATGTGAATATAAGAGAAATGGCTGAGCAAATTGCAGAATTTCGGCTACAAAACGCGACTTGACAAAACGCGGTTTCAAGCCACGTTTTGATGACTCATGTTTTCAACTCTATGCTTTTGGCCTCGCTTCAATTGCGATTTTCTCTATGATGAAAGCCGAACTAGCTTTTGTGCAAAACACAAAAGTTGTAGCCATTTGAATTAGCTTTACAATGCTTCAATAATCATCCAAATTGGAGCTTTGTAGACTGAGATATGATCACAATACTATCACCTGGTCAAACCCCTATTTCAAAATCAAATATAGATCTATCTCTTAGCTTCAAAATGGCATAAAGATCACCTCAATCCGATATGTGTAGCTCCAAATATAGTCGAAATACGAAAATATGTCAAAGTTGTTTTCACTCACATTTCTTCAATTCACTTCATTTCTTCTTTATCACTTAAATTCATCATCAATTATCCACTTTTCATCGCAGTTGACATCCTTTGGTGATTGAATCATTAATCCTGCATGAAAATGAAGTTTTTACCATTAAAATCAATAGAAATGCAAAGTTAGCCACTTTAACTTAAAATGTAGATTTTTATCAAAACCTTAGTTATTTTAGTTATAAAACTAAATAATCAAACCAAAATTAACTAATAAAATGGGCTTAAAAATACGTAAAATTACGGGCAATTTTTTCCTTCCTTTTCCGGTCAAAGCCAAACAAAACATAGGTCAAAAAGAAAATTTGATTAGAAGTCCCGATCAATTTATGAGAGTGGAACTCTAGTATCAAGGGAATCATAGAGTGCTATTCTATATATGTTTAATGCTAAATCATCAAAAATAAGAAAAATAGTATGTACATTTCTACATATCTAGATGATCACTTAATTAAGAAACAACTTTAGAAGCAAAGCTTGATATTAGGCCTCAAATGATCATGCCATCTTTCTCTACGCTGCTTCCCAATCCTCCCTTGCAACATCTTAGAAATTTGAGACCATTTTCCAACTCCAAATTTTTTCGCATTTTGGATTTGCCCTGATTACACAACCACTCAAATTTAGTGCATATGTATTTGCAAAATAGACACAAAAATTTGTGTAAACATAATAAATAAAAGTAAATTTTATATACACTATTACAATTGGATGGATGACACATAAGTAAATTTGAGATTTCAAACTCAAATTTTGCACAATCAACATATATTTAATAGTGATATTGTATACAGTGATAGTGTATATAAGATTAATCCAATAAATAATACCAAAAACTATCAAAATTTTATCAAATATTTGTATAAAAATTTATGTGCCTATCATCTTTAGGGGTCCATTGATCCTTTGCTGATTTAGTTGTCTTTTGAACTTGCACGGGATTTTTCGTTGAAGAAGATGAGGCATTATTGAAAAATTTGCTGCTATTAGCAAGTATGCAAGAGCTCTCACCTTAGATTGAGAATTCAGAGGTCTAACTTGTTGATGACTCGAGGCAATACTGTTATGGTTGGGTAAATTTGCATTCAGTAGCGGAGTTTCCATGCCATTATAGTTTGACAAGCCACCAATGTTATTATCACTTTCTTCAAATGGCTTATACTCTAAAAACTCGAAACCTATTGTTGAAGATCTATTGAACAAGGGATCAAAGAAATCATCAGCAGTTGATGATGATTCTGCAATAGGCAAGTCGTCAAGGTGAGGAAAATCTTCCAGAAAATCCTTTGCCTGGTTGCTGTCCATCCAAGATTCTTTATGGATTTCAGGTTCTAAAGAACTGGTTGGTAAAGAAAGCTTTTGATTGCTGTCTTGGTCCCTACATTTCTAGTTAAGTTCCACGGAGCAGTGTTTAGCTTCTTTCTCCGCTTCTTAGCTAAAATAGGAAAAATCAGGTCTTATTTAACAAGTTTTTGAGTCTGGCAAGACAGTTACCCAAATAGAAAATCTACACACCAGAAAGAACAAAAGAAAATGTTAATTATGATTTAATGCTTATTTATGTTGTGATAGTAATATAAGAATACAATGGATTACCGTCATCCCAGCAAGCATGAAACACTTCAGGCATGTAGGAAATTAATGGATACCAGTTCTAGTTAAATTTCTTTTGTTTTTTCCTCTTTGACTTTCTGTTTAATTATCTCATTTTACA